AATAGATGACATTACTGTCATACATTATGTTTCTTTTAAAATACGTAATATTGATTATAAAATAATTTTTGTAATTTTATTAATAACGCGTGTGTAYGCAAAACAATAACATTAACAATACAATTTTTCATTGATGACTTAATAAATTATATTAATTCCTTCTCATCAGCCATCATAATATGTATATAGGTAYTTAAAATAGGTATATAGGTAATATATTATTATAATATTTACCTAAYATTACGCGTGAGGTGATTATAAATTMCAATATATATTGGAGGGCACCAATATGTTGTTTCAAAATATATTATGGGAAAGTACCTAACTATCAATTGAAAATTTTAGATGATGCATACGATACTACGAATTACGATATATGYAGGTACAGAATTAATATCAAGTAACAAAAAACTGAAAAAACTGTTTACATTATACATATTATAGATAGATTCATATTATTATCTACCTACATTTTAGTATAACAACAAATATAAAAAATGTCAGTCGTTAAAAAAAATTGATGTGGGTGGTGGGAATATTTAAAATCTAAAAGGAGGCCTTTGTCCTTAAATGAAAACCTAGAGTAGGAACAAATCACTTAAAATATATTAATTTTCAAGTCAGTAATRAATTTGGTATCTGACCTCCCTTCATCAACATTCTTTAGATTATACTGATTAAAAACTATCAACGGTGGAAAGTAATACGTCAAAAACATATACAGTTGAGTACCAAGAAAGCTTTTCATCTTGAGATCGAAAGTTGTAAAACATCATATAGGTATATACAGTGGCGCACAGTAGATTTTTCACAAGGGTGTCGAAAATATATATCTCGCGGTACCCACCAACCCCACAAGTAAAATCTGAGTTTATACTCTTTATACAATTAATATTAAATCAAACAAATATTTATCAAAATAACATCCGAATTCACCCAGAATCAGTCACACTCACTAACCTAACCAATTCTCTGAGGGGTGTCAGTCGACACCCCTGAC